TCAGCGGGCACTCGTGAAATGATAAACTCACGTAGATTACATCGCAGAGAGTTGAAAAAACACCATGATTAGCAGGCTTGTCAGACACGAAAGCTTGCCTGGTTGTATGATTCACATCATGTATACCAGAAAGCGAAGGCTGTTGAATCGTCGGAAAGTGGGTGCGATTCCGGTTGTTTCGAAGATGGTAGGAAATGAACCTTGGTGAAGATGCTTGTAAGTGATGTGATGAACTATCCGCATACATCTCATTTGAATAGAATAATTATACGAATCAGTATTACCATGGCCAATAGCACGTTCGGATCTCAAGCTCCGTAAGTCAATCCGCCGATGCCGCTAAGTCATGAGCCAGCCCTGCAGTGTCACTCGCCGAAGCCGCCGAGGCCGGAACTACACTCGAGCCCGAGGATTACACAGTTGCCGATGGGATGGCACATGTGGAGTCCGGCGCCGAACCCGAGCTGGTGTTTTTGAAGGATTGTGTGTACGGATATAAGGCGTGACATTACTCCGTACCGCAGAGGTTACCGCAAGAGGTATCAAGATAGTCTTTGCTCACCATTTCTTTTTCTGAGAAGAAAATGCGGGAGTGAGATCTCTTTAGTTTATCTGAAGCATCTAGCCCATGCGTACTTGCCTTAGGTAGCATTGTCACACCGAACTCACGGGATGAGATGTGCCTTGCATTGCTTCTCGATGCTCTGCGATCCTTCACGACCAATTGCCGGCACCACCATGTCTGACGGAGAAAAAAAAAAAAGGAGTCAACGAGTGGGTGAGTGAGCAGAATCGGCAAGTTTGGGGAAAAGCCGTGAGAGGCCGGGCGGCATGCCGTGGCCCCGCAGCGAACCCCGGCGCCAGTGCCCACCGCTGGTTCTCCGGTCCAAGTGCAACCTTCCCGAAGAGGAATGCACCTGTGCAAGCTCGTCTTGGCTTCACTTGGCTTCATCGCGTCAATTTCTTTTCTTCCACACACACACATACACACACGCGCGCAGACAGTCACACTGTTCACACATAATAGTACACTGACGCTCGCCATTACCACTATTACGAACGCCAATGAACCCCGCCTCTCCATGTCGTCAATATCCAGACTTAATCACGCCAACAACCCAACTTTGGCAGGTCCTTAATGATCCCCCCGGCTCCCTCCGTTCGAAAACTCCGTTCCATAGACCACCATGACCACAGCAGCCAGTCAAGATGGCCGTCGAGACCAACAGTCGGCAAGAAATTCAAAGAAAGCAGCGGGCCCGACTCATCGATAACCTGACAACTTGACCGCGATCCATGTCGCTCTCTTGGCATCCGAGCACAACACCCAACAAAGCCACCAACGATGGACCGTTGCACCGTCGCTCGGTGATCTCTCGCCTGCACTGCACTGGAACACGGCCCACTGCGACGCGCACCTGCATGGCTATCGACACATGCTTTAGTTCAATGGCACCGCACGGCAAGCTGGTATAAAGTGGCGGTTGCCTCTCCAGGTTCCTGCTACGCGACGTTCGCTCCCGCTTGTTGCTCGCCGTTCCTCGCATACCATTTCTTGGACACCAGAGAAATCGGGACACCAGACACCCATCATGGCCCGCCAACTTCTCAAGGTCGTTGCCGCTGCGGCCCTCATCTTCGGCGCATCGGCCATTGAACGCGAACCGCACCAGCCCACCGGTGGTGGCGATCGCATTGTGACTTGGAACGAGACGGTCGCCTCCCCGCGATTTGGCGCCAGCTCGCGATCCGTCAGCTGGCTCTCGGGCGTTGAAGACGGCCGCTTCATCTATCTTTCCAACAATGCACTCGTGATCGAGGACATTGTCACTGGCGCAAACGAGACATTCGTGCCCGCCGATAAGATCCCTGCCGATTACGCCGAGTACTGGATCCGTCCGGATCTGAAGAAGGTTCTCTTTGCCACCAACTACACCAAGCAATACCGCTACTCGTACTTTGCCGACTACTCCATTCTCGACGTCGAATCTGGCGTCGTCGAGCCGCTCGTGGATGATCAGGTTGGGGACATTCAGTATGCCGAGTTTGCGCCCGTGGGAGACGCAATTGTGAGTGCTCCTGATTAGCATTATGCGAGTCCAATTGACCTGGGTCTTAGCTGACGCCATCATTTAGGCCTTCGTCCGCGGTAACAACCTCTTCCTCAGCAAGAACGGAACCATTTCTCAGATCACGAGCGACGGCGGTCCGGATCTATTCCACGGTGTTCCCGACTGGGTCTACGAGGAGGAAATCTTTGGCAGCAGAAGCACCTTCTGGTTCTCCCCCGATGGCGAGTACATTGCCTACCTCAGCTTCAATGAGACGGGCGTGGAGACCTTCACCATCCCCTACTTCATGGGCGGCGAGAAGATCGCGCCCTCGTATCCTGTCGAACTGGACCTGCGTTATCCCAAGGTCGGCAGCAAGAACCCTACAGTGGCGCTAACGCTTCTGGATGTTGAGACCGAGGAGGCCACGCCCGTCGAGATTGACGCATTTCCCGCCAACGACCTCGTCGTCGGTGAGGTCAAGTGGTTGACCACCAACCATGCCAGCTTCGCCTACCGAGCCTTCAATCGTGTCCAGGACCAGGAGAAGCTCGTCCGCGTCGATGTCGAGGGCTATGCTTCCGAGGTCATTCGAGAGCGCGATGGCTCCGACGGATGGCTGGACAACAACCAGGGCATTGAGTACATCGGGCCCTTGCAAAACGCCACGAGAAACTCCACCGACGCCTACTTTTTGGACCTTTCCGACGAGTCTGGTTGGAACCATATCTACCTGTACTCAGTCAATGGCGGCAGTCCTATTGCTCTCACCAGCGGCGAGTGGGAAGTGACCTCGGTCCTCAAGGTCGACACCGAGCGTCATTTCGTCTACTACCTGTCCACTGAGCACCACAGCACCGAGAGACACCTTTACTCCGTCTCCTACCCTTCCGGCGTCAAGACGGCTCTCGTCGACGACACCGTCGCAGGATACTGGAGCGCCTCCTTCTCGTCCTCGGCCGGATACTACATTCTGTCCTACCAGGGCCCCAACGTCCCCTACCAGGAACTCTACGCCACCAACTCAACCACCCCAGTCCGCACCATCACCACCAACGAGGCCCTCGTCACCCGTCTTCAGGAATATAAGCTCCCCAACATCACCTACTTCGAGCTCGTCCACCCTGAAGGCTACACCCTCAACGTGATGCAGCGCCTCCCCGCCAACTTTGACCCCTCCAAGAAGTACCCAGCCCTCTTTACCCCCTACGGCGGCCCCGGCGCGCAGGAAGTCACAAAGCGCTACCAATCCATCACCTGGCGCGCCTTCATTGCCTCCGACCCGGAACTCGAGTACATCACATACACCGTCGACAACCGCGGCACAGGCTACAAAGGCCGCGCCTTCCGCTCAACCGTGGCCGGCCACCTTGGCCGCTTGGAGCCCCTCGACCAGATCTGGGCCGCCGAACAACTCTCGTCGCAAAACGCCTTCGTCGACGCCGCCAAGATTGGCATCTTTGGCTGGTCGTACGGCGGATACCTCTCGGCCAAGGTCCTTGAGGCCAACTCGGGCGTCTTCTCGTCCGGCCTCATCGTCGCGCCCGTCAGCGACTGGCGCTTCTACGACTCGCTGTACACGGAGCGCTACATGAAGACCCTCGACGCCAACGAGGAGGGCTACAACGAGACGGCCGTCCGCAACCCCGAAGGATTCAAGAATCTGGCGGGCGAGTTTACCATCCTCCACGGCACGGGCGACGATAATGTGCACTACCAGAACGCGGCCGCGCTCATTGACCTTCTCGTCGGCGCCGGGGTGCCCGTGTCCAAGATGAAGTGGCTGAGTTTCACGGACAGCGACCACAGCATTGCGTACAACGGTGCTAATATCTGGTTGTACAAATATCTGACCGAGGCGTTGTTCAGGGAGAAGAGACGGTCTGGAGATCCGCTTGTTCACCAATGGAGTAAGAAGAGCCTGCCTGAGACGTTTGACTTTGGGAGGTCTTAGGGGCGCGGTGTTGGCTTCATGTAGATATTTGAACATCCTTTTCGAGAAGAGTTAATATGTCATACCTGTCCAGCGCAGCCTGTATCGTGTACGAGTATATTATTTCTCCTTTTGGTTCATAAACCTCGGCCTGTAGTGAATGATGCAGTAGACAATCTTGTCGTCAAAGGGAGATGCGTTACCGACCAGAAAGACAGAAGCATAGCTTCGAAGGCTACTACTCTGATCTCATTCACGATAGTGGCGATGTACAGCATGATTTTGGTACAATCTGTTGTGGAATTAGACTATCTTTGTACCACTTTTTAAAGTACCTAGTGTTACCTGACTTACGTGATGGTGAGGGACGTTATTTGCGGGATTGAAAGTATAAACTGAACAGGTTTTGAGTAATCCAAAAATCGAAAACTTCGAGTTCGGCTTTTCCTTTGTCTCCTACTTGTGAAGTGTAATGAATCGCTTCATTTGTCGCAGGCTGTAGTCATGAAACCCACTGTCGATTAATTCACGCTGCAGCGAGTATTGCACGTTTCCCGGCAGCCATTTCTCTTGTAATGCGACGCGGCCAGAATGCGAACGATCCTGGACCCCTCAGCCAGCCTCTGACAATGTACATGATTTATTTCCAGAATCTGTTCGAAGAAACAAACAAGCCTCACTTGGAACTAGTGTCGAATTGATTGACTAAAGGCTAGAAAATAATCGAAAGGAGGGAGACTCACCGTAATTGCAGACATACTCAAAGGTCAGCAAGGTAAGTGACCGCAAAGACCCCCGTGTTACGGCCCCACCTTTCCACCCTCACCTACAACGCTCGGTGAGGCCAAAATACCGGCTCGGAAAAACACCAACCTCCAGCTACCTTCTCCCCTTCACTTTTCCTCATCCACCACCAAACCGCCCTGACCCGCGATCGCGACAAGCTACCCCCTCCATCCATCCCGACCTAAATATCCACGACAGCTCGCCCTCGATTCCCCCAAACAACCGCAATCATGACGTCCACAATTGGCATCCCCATCAAGCTCCTCAACGAGGCACAGGTACCTATAACCTCCCCTCCAATAAGACACAAGCAAGACAGCTAACCATGTACGCGCGCAGGGCCATATCGTCACCCTCGAAATCACATCAGGCCAGACTTACCGCGGCAAGCTCCTCGAAGGTATTACCCTCCCCTCCCCTCCCCTCCACTCTTCCCATCTCCAACCCAGTCATAGCAGCCCGCTAACCATCCCACCTCTCCCCAACAGCCGAAGACAACATGAACGTCCAGCTCAAAGACATCACCGTCACCGCCCGCGACGGCCGCGTCTCCCATCTCGACCAGGTCTACATCCGCGGATCCCACGTCCGCTTCTTCATCGTCCCGGACATGCTGCGCAACGCACCCATGTTCCGCTCCCGCAACGTCCGCGGCCGCGGTGTCGGTATGGCGCGTGGTCGCGCGACTGTGAGCAGGGCGAGGGCCAGCGGGCGCGGAGGACGCTAGGATCGTACTCCACATGCCTCTTCGACTCGGCCTTGAGTATTTTCTCGTATGAAGCATTTCGTGAGGGGGAGAAAAGAGAGGAACACAAGGATAGAAATGGGTCGGAAGAAAGGGCCAAATTCGACACGAGACACAGCGCGCAGTTTTCCTTCACGGCGGATCTTATGCTTCCCATCCATTGAGATATTGGACGAAGGCACAGGCGAGGTGTTTTCGAATTCACACTCGAGGAGAACCAGGGGGTGCTCAGCATCGCCTCTTGGGGACAAGAAAAGTTCTAGGCGTTTTACGGGGTCTTTTGAAGGTTTCTTAGGGGAAGGTCCCCAAGCGATGCAAAGGCGGATACCAGCCGAGGGAGGGCCAGGGAAACACATGAAACAGCGCGAGGCACGATACTTGGGGCTTGAGTTCTCCCTGAGGAGAACAAAATCCGGGCAGTCTTAGGATGTCACTGGCCGGCCAGCATGTGGGAAATGACGGTCGCTAGGGTAGGCCTCACTCTTTCTCTTATCTTGAAGAGCCAGTCGTCAACCAACCCTCAGCTGACACAGAAGAAAGCTAGGCGCTAAAGCCCAAGATACCGCAGCAATAAAATGCAAACGCCCCTCTCGGCGCCCAATATCTCGTGGCTTTCTTCTTTCATCAGTGCCTCGTGCGTGCGCGTGTATGTCTATCATGGACATTGTCTTTTACACATTATACAGATGATGATACAAACCCCGTGACACGCAAACCCCTTCTTCCTTGTTCAGATCACTTCTACTTCAACCGCTTAAGCGCGTCCTCGGCCTTCTCAACAAGCTCCTTGGCCCTGCGAAGCTCATCCGCGCCCTCGACAGCAGCCCCCTCCCGCGACCCATCAAGCGTGTCCGCAACGCTCTGCTCTACGCCCCGTACGGCCTTGCGCCCTTCCTCCCGCACATCGCCCTCCCAGTACGTCCGCGCCGTCTCCCACTTGGTCTGCAACCTGCGCAGACTCCACATCACACCCAGCGCCGCGACGGCGCCGGCCTCGTAGATAGAGGAAGCGTACTGCGACACGTAAAGCAGACCCGCCAGCGCCGTTGTCAGGGCCGAGGTGCTCGAGGCCTGCAGAACGAGCTTCTGCGCGAGGGCCTGTAGTGCGGGGACGGTTTCCTCATGGAGGTAGCGGCGCGTGAAGGCGATGTGCGTGGGCCACTTTGGCTTCTGCGTCACCGCCTTGGCGACGGTGCTGCTCTCGGGCAGGGACTTCTGGAGTTCTGATGTTGGCTGGGCGTATACCGGGGGTTCGGCGGTGGTCGAAGCGACGCCGGACTCGGCGATGCGGCCGGCGAGGTAGACAAGCTCCCTCTCCGCGCCAGGGAGGAACCGCTGGCTGAGCATGTCGGTCGTGAGGACGCCTACGTCGTCGACTCGCCAGAAGAGCTTCCACCAGCCCAGCTTGCGCCACCTCGTGCCCGCGAACGCGAGGTCGAGCTGCTGCTGAAGCTCCTCGTGCGCGAACTGGGACCACTGCGCCAGTCTCTCGTTCATGACGGTCAGCCCGGATGACGCGGCTTCTGTGGACAGGCGTCCTGAAAGCAGGCGCGATTCCTCGGCTTCAATCTCCGCGAGGGCGTTGCGTAGGAGTGAGGCGACGAGAAGACGGACTGCTGGCTTGGTAGCTTGGCCCTCGTCCGTCTGCACGCCTATCTTGAGCCATTGAATAAGGACCGGCACATTACTCTTGTACCATGCCCTCTCGTACTCCATAGCGTTGCCAATGTTCTGGCGAATTAGATCAAGCCCCTTGCTGCCCACTGATACATCAATCGGCTGGAACGTGACGCCCGCCTCCTTCTCAACAGGATACTCTGGCAAATTGACGGCCCCAAAGACGGTATCGCGGTACTCGGCCAACGGCAGAGCCGCAACTGAAGCAGCGCCCATAACGCCCCCAGAAACAACCAAAGCTTTATGCACCGGCGTTGTGATAGGCGTGTACCGCCCCGTGTTGGACGGAATATCCACTGTGGGCACGAGAACAGCCTCCTCGACATCCTGCACCGCCGTCTCGCCCGGTCCCGGCACAGAGCTAAAGGGATTTACCTCCATCAGCAACAGCTCAATTCCGTGCCCATTCAGCGCAGGCGACGACACATCGAGCTCATGCAACAGATTCGTCTTTGATATCGTCACGCGCGGCGCGGCCTCCGCGGCATTATGCTCCTGCCCGATGCGCACCACGAGCGGGTGTGAGGGGTCATGCTGCGCCAGCTCCCTTTCCCACTCCGCCTCGTCGCCGAGGGGATCCGCTAGAAGTAGCCGGAGAAGGTCCTTTGCCGCCTTGCCCTGTTCTGCGCCGCCGTTGGCGAGCGAGAGGATGGCGACGCGGATCGATTCCTGGCCGGGATCCTGGCGCAGGCCCTGGAGCGCGAGCTGTAGACGGGAGAGGTTGACGTGGTTGACGGCGTGTTTTTGGAGCTCTAGGAGGGTGTCGATGAGTTCTTGTCTCGGGTTCTCGGGCGCGGTGGCCTCTAATGGTGGCGGTGGTGATGCTGTCGACTCGGTGGACTGGAAGCGGCGTTGTCTCAATGCCTTTCTCGCTTGGTTGCGGCAGTTTGCGGTGACGTTCGTTCTCGTCGTCGGTCGCGAGGGCGCGGACAGCGAGCAGAATAAGCATACTGCGCGCGAAGGGATTGCGGTATTCTGCTTGGCGGCAGTCAGGGACGACGCGGCGCGGCCTGCGATTGGCCTCAATGGGAGTCGTGGAGGCATCGTGGAGAAGTAACAAGAGCGAGAAGGACAGAAAATCCCCCCTTCTCTTGCTTTCCTGGATGACGAATAAGAGAGGGAAAAGCGAACCGTCGTGGATTGAATTGGTGGTTGGATGATGTCGGCCGGGGAGACGGGTGGACAGAGCTCCCAAAAAATGCTCGGTGAAGCCAACCCAAGCTCCAATCCATGTGCACCCGTCGGGCTAAACTTCGGAGAACCGCTGGAGCAGGGAAGTCTCCCCCCCACCCCCGCCAATCTGCCACCACTATGACCACCACTAACCGACCCGGAGGTCCCAACCGAACGTTCGTCTCTGTGTAAGTCACCGGAGACACCAACCCGCCAACCCTCATAATCGCCGACCCTCTCGACGATCGTCCAAACATCTCGCATCCCTCCCTCTCCTCCTTCAGCTCTCTGCGACTCCAACCCTCCCACCCCGAGCAATTCCGAGCCACTCACCACCGAGAGCCAGCCATGGCCCAATCCACCGCCCACCGCCGTCTCCTCCAAGAGTACCGCGCCCTGACAAACAACCCCCCAGAAGGCATCACCGCCGGCCCCGTCTCCGAAGACGACCTCCTCCACTGGGAGGCCCTGATCCAAGGTCCCGAGGGAACACCCTTTGAAGGCGGCGTCTTCCCCGCCGAGCTCAAGTTCCCCAAGGACTACCCTCTTGCCCCGCCGACCATGAAATTCCTCGTCGACATGTGGCATCCCAATAGTACAGTCTTCTTCTTCTTCTTCTTCTTCTTCTTTTCCTCCTCCCTGATGTAACCTTGTAGAGAAGGGGAAATGCATTGCTAACCGCAAACCAAACAGTCTACCCAAGCGGCCTAGTCTGCATCTCAATCCTCCACCCCCCAGGCGACGACCCAAACCACTACGAACACGCCTCGGAGCGCTGGTCCCCGATCCAGTCGGTCGAAAAGATCCTCATCTCCGTCATGAGCATGCTCGCCGAGCCAAACGACGAGAGCCCCGCCAACGTCGAGGCCGCAAAGATGTGGCGCGAGCGGAGGACGGAGTACGAGCAAAAGGTCCGCGACGGGGTCCGGCGGTCGCTGGGTCTGTGAGAGCGCAGGCCTTCTCTGGCGATAACAGAGTAAAGTCAGACGGTCTAATCACTCGATAACACAACTCACCTAGAGAAGCGTCGCAGACCATGTGGCAAACATCAGTTGGCGGATTGCCTTAGTAGAGGGAGATCTGAAGAATCAACGTAGGCAGACATAAGAGGGTGCAGTCAACACTACCAGCATAGCACGGCGTTTGGGGAACAAATCAAATATGGTTTCAAATATCCACTTCTTTCGTTAATGCTTGCTTGCTTGCTCGCATTCAGGATAAATGCCTTCAGCTTTCCTGCCCGTCCTGGCAGTACTAAACCGCTCACTCACACGTCTAAATCCCATCATCCATCAATCATGCAGCTCCCCTGATTACAAGCCATTCTCAGACTTGAACTTATCCCAGCTCTCGTTCAATGTCGCAAAGACTGTGGCAGCAATCAGTCTCACTTCCGTGCTAGCGTCTTGTGGCAGCTATAGATTGTCAGCGCAGGTCTATAATCACCAAGCAAAGCAAAAATGACGTACCTTGTCGGGATGACACTTGGCAATGGCCTTCATGTAGTGAATCTTCACCTTGTTGGCCATGACAAGCTCGTGCAGCCCGACCTTCTTCCATCCGCTGTTTTCCCAGAGAACCGAGTCCAAGCTGCCAATAAGAGCACGCAAATTATCTCTCTTGCCGTCCCTCCATGCCGCAATCTTGGCGTCAACCTTCTCCGACAGCGCAAACTTCTCGTCGTCTTCTTGTGCCGCCGCTTGGTTCTGCTTCCGCAAGCGCTCCACGGCTTCCATATTCTTGGCAGAAGCTGCGACAGGGCGGGACCGAGCAGGAGCAGCGGCAGCTGGCCTAGGCTTGGGTTTGGGCTTGGGAGCTAGAGCCGACTGGCATCTTTGTCGGCCAGAGATAGCAGTAGGACCGCCGACGCCGTTCTTCACGCAGGTTGACCAGACGGCGTGGGCATCGCCCCATCGCTCCATCTGCTCGAGGGCCTCGGCCTTGCGGCTCAATGCCTTACCGTACAGGTCTCGCATGTCGCGGTTTTCCTGGCCGCCGGTGTCACCTACAACAGACACCTGCTCGCCTTGACCTCCACCGGGACCAATAATCTTGAGTGCAGCATCGGCATCCTCGACAGCTCGCTTGGGTTCACCGTTCTTCAACGATGTCAACGCGCGGTTTGTGAGAAT